TACATATATATACATATATATACATATATATACATATATATACATATATATACATATATATACATATATATACATATATATACATATATATACATATATATACATATATATACATATATATACATATATATACATATATATACATATATATACATATATATACATATATATACATATATATACATATATATACATATATATACATATATATACATATATATACATATATATACATATATATACATATATATACATATATATACATATATATACATATATATACATATATATACATATATATACATATATATACATATATATACATATATATACATATATATACATATATATACATATATATACATATATATACATATATATACATATATATACATAATTTTTTTTCAAATCCTGATGTTGGTTAAGCAATTTTTAAAATCATGTTTCTTTTCCCAGAATCTTTTGCCTTTGTTGGCGGCGGGATGCTTGGCCGCCCCCGCGGACCTCCTGAGTCTGCCGGCGTCTGCTGGCTTCCACGTCTCCCCTTCAGGTCCCCTGGAGCTGAAGACGGTCCAGATCCCCGCGCCCTTGGCTGTGGCTCCTGCCGCTGTTCCTCCTACGCTCACCTTCGCCTCCGTGGCCGAACAGGCCTCAGGAGCTGACCTGAAGCAAGACCAGATTTCCGTCCCTGCCTCCGTCGTCCTCAACCCCACGCTTCCCTCGGCGGCGGTCCTCCCCCCCACCTTCGCCGCTGCTCCCGCCGTCGCCGTTGACGGGGTTTCGGTCGTGGCCTCTGCTTTGGCCCCGTCCAACGTGCGCCTCGACGTCCCCGCGCCCGTGCCCTTCGGCGACGCCCCCGCCCCCGAACAGCTGGTGCAGCGAGTGCCCGTGAGGGTGGCGGGTCGCCCCGTGATCTCGCACACCCCCCTGGTCACCGAGGTTCGGCCCGAGCTCAAGCTCATCGAGAAGACCTACGACGTGGCCGTGCCCAAGCCCGTCTACGAGACCAAGGAAGTGACTCCCATCGAGCACAAGTTTGTGGCCGAGCCGTATGCCGTGCCCCAGCCGTACGCCGTGCCGCAGCCTTTCGCCGTGCCCCAGCCCTATGCCGTGCCTGTGCCTGTTGCAGAACAAGTGCACGTGCAACACCACGTAGCTGCTGCTCCTGTTGCAGGCCAGTACGTAGCCGCTGCCCCTGTTGCAGGGCAATACGTAGCTGCTGCTCCTATTGCAGGCCAGTACGCAGCCGCTGCCCCTGTTGCAGGTCAGTACGTAGCCGCTGCCCCTGCTGCAGGCCAGTACGTAGCCGCTGCTCCTGTTGCAGGACAATACGTAGCCGCTGCTCCAGTTGCAGGCCAGTATGTAGCTCCTGCACCCGGCGTCCTGCACCACACTCAGTCCTTCCCTCTTCTCAGTCCTGCCGTTCAAACTGCATCTGCGTAATCTAAACGGTTGCTACTTACGATCTCCAGCTAAACCATGAACAATCTGTAAACACATGCATTTCTCATGATTCGCACGGTCGTAAAGTAATAAAATAGTCTATTATTCCTCAAACAATTATTCTTAAACCTCATTTAAATACCCTAAGATCACATTACCTTCCAGTAGTATCTTGATCTCCCCCTAAACACATATATATACACACACACATACATATATAACATATATGCATATATATATATATATATATATATATATATATATATATATATATATATATATACATACATATATAAGTATATATATGTATGTATATATATACACATATATATGCGCATTAAACAAAATCCTGCTACAAGTGCTCAGCAGAATCTCTGTCTGTCAAAGCGGAACGTCAGTTGGTGAAGCCCTTTTGGAGTTTTAGTTTCAAGTTTCAAGTGATACTATTATTATCACTATAATCACTATCACTATTATCGTTATAATTGTTATTGTTATTGTTGTTAGTATTATGATTAATATTGTTGTTATTAGTATTATGATCACGACTACCATCGTAATTATCACTATCATCATTATTATTATAATTTTATTATTACTATTATTATTACTATTATTATTATTATTACTATTATTATGTATTATCTTAATAATAACAATGATAATAATAATAATAATTATTATTATTATCATTATCATTGTCATTATTGCTATTACTATTATCATTATCATTATCCTTATTGTTACTATAATTATTGCTATTATTTTTGTTATCATTCATAACAATACTATGAATATTGTTGTTATTATCATTATTATTATTATCATCACTTTTATTGTTATGATCATTAGTATAATGATGATTGCTACTATTGTTATTATCACAACTATTATAATTATTATCATTACAGTAATGATAATGATAACATTGTTAGTAATGACAATAACAATAAAAAAAAATAATAATAATAGTGATAATAATAATGATAATAGCAAGGATGATAACACACACACACATATACATAGCTACATATGTATATGTATGTATACATACCTATATACATACATGCACATATCCACACGCACATGCACTTATATATATACATATATATATATATATATATATATATATATATATATATATATATATATATATATATATATATATATATATATATATGTATAAATATATGTATATATGTATGTATATATAATGATAATAATAAATATACATATAATATATATATAAATATATATACACATATATGTATGAAAATCTTAAATTAAGAGAAGATGAATATCGTTTCGTTTGGAAATCTTCGCGAATTCCTCTAATTAACTGTCCATTTATTCGTCTGAAGAGGAACTCGTGAAGAGTTCGAAACGTTTATTTTTTATCGTGACTGATTTCCTTTTCAACTTTCTATATACGTTACTGTGTTTGTGCATATATATATATATATATATATATATATATATATATATATATATATATATATATATATGTATATATATATAGATATATATATATATATATAGATATATATATATATAATATATATACACATATATGTATGAAAATCTTAAATTAAGAGAAGATGAATATCGTTTCGTTTGGAAATCTTCGCGAATTCCTCTAATTAACTGTCCATTTATTCGTCTGAAGAGGAACTCGTGAAGAGTTCGAAACGTTGTTTATTTTTTATCGTGACTGATTTCCTTTTCAACTTTCTATATACGTTACTGTGTTTGTGCATATATATATATATAATATATATATATATAGATATATATATATATAATATATATACACATATATGTATGAAAATCTTAAATTAAGAGAAGATGAATATCGTTTCGTTTGGAAATCTTCGCGAATTCCTCTAATTAACTGTCCATTTATTCGTCTGAAGAGGAACTCGTGAAGAGTTCGAAACGTTGTTTATTTTTTATCGTGACTGATTTCCTTTTCAACTTTCTATATACGTTACTGTGTTTGTGCATATATATATATATAATATATATACACATATATGTATGAAAATCTTAAATTAAGAGAAGATGAATATCGTTTCGTTTGGAAATCTTCGCGAATTCCTCTAATTAACTGTCCATTTATTCGTCTGAAGAGGAACTCGTGAAGAGTTCGAAACGTTGTTTATTTTTTATCGTGACTGATTTCCTTTTCAACTTTCTATATACGTTACTGTGTTTGTGCATATATATATATATAATATATATACACATATATGTATGAAAATCTTAAATTAAGAGAAGATGAATATCGTTTCGTTTGGAAATCTTCGCGAATTCCTCTAATTAACTGTCCATTTATTCGTCTGAAGAGGAACTCGTGAAGAGTTCGAAACGTTGTTTATTTTTTATCGTGACTGATTTCCTTTTCAACTTTCTATATACGTTACTGTGTTTGTGCATATATATATATATATATAATATATATACACATATATGTATGAAAATCTTAAATTAAGAGAAGATGAATATCGTTTCGTTTGGAAATCTTCGCGAATTCCTCTAATTAACTGTCCATTTATTCGTCTGAAGAGGAACTCGTGAAGAGTTCGAAACGTTGTTTATTTTTTATCGTGACTGATTTCCTTTTCAACTTTCTATATACGTTACTGTGTTTGTGCATATATATATATATAAATATATATACACATATATGTATGAAAATCTTAAATTAAGAGAAGATGAATATCGTTTCGTTTGGAAATCTTCGCGAATTCCTCTAATTAACTGTCCATTTATTCGTCTGAAGAGGAACTCGTGAAGAGTTCGAAACGTTGTTTATTTTTTATCGTGACTGATTTCCTTTTCAACTTTCTATATACGTTACTGTGTTTGTGCGTGTATATATATATATATATATATATATATATATATATATATATATATATATACACACATATATGTGTGTGTGTGTTTGTGTGTGTGTAAGAGGCTATGGCTGCCTCAAGGGAATGCCTAGAAGGACAGTCGTTATTGATAAAGAGGACACACGAATAAAGGAACACGATATGAATATCTGAGAGCAATGTTGAATGCGGTGTCACGGCCGGCCAGCGGAGGGAAATTAATTAAATACTTAATGAACGATATAAGGTCAGAAGGATAGAATGAGTGTATGAATTCAAGAAATTACTGCAGTTAGCACTTTTAACCAGCAAATGACTGCACATATAATTTATACGGATTAACACATTTGTGGGAGAAGGGAGCGAAGAGAAATGAAAGGGCCCATAACGTGTACTCGCGTGTTTTTGAAGACACTGTCGTATCGTGGAAGCGCTGGTCGAGGGCGATTTGGAGACATAGCAGTTCGTGTTGCAAGTCAAAAGGACGTAACAGACGTGGTTGTTCGTGTTGCGAGTCAAAAGGACGCAACAGACGTGGTTGTTCGTGTTGCGAGTCAAAAGGACACAACTACAATCGGCTGCCACCAAAGTGTATGAGGCTGTGGCTTCCTCAGGAGAATAGCTAGTAGGACACTGATAGTGGTTAGCGTTTTGGTTCTTTATCAATGAAGAGTACACATGAGTAAAATGACATGGTATGACTATCTGAGAGCAGTGCTGAGTGCGGTGTCGCGCCCCGGCCAGCGGAGGGCCGGCGATCTATATTATGAACGGTAGGGTGACTTGAGTGCAAACTGAAGGGTCAAATAGTTTCAGCTATAATCGACAACTAGGCTCCCGCTGAGTGATTCTGCTGTGATCAGGTCAAATCTGTTAAGGTGGAAAGTCAAGATTTTGAAATCAGTATTGTTAGAAGGGTGATTGTGGAGGTGAGACCGCTCTCTAATTTGCCGAGAAGGGTGGTTCGCTCAGCTGTCCTGATTGACTTGCCTTTGTGTTCGAGAATGCGGTGACGGAGCCATCGTGAGGTTGATCCCACTTACCTAGCCTGACAGCTAGGTCAAGAAAATAGGTAATCCACATTCGAAATTAGTTGAGTCACACGTTACATTTTTCTTCAAGAAATTTCCAATAGCGTTAGTATTGTAAAAAACAAAACAAACAAAAAAAAAAAAACGAAAACAGACCTGAGGATAATATTGTTTGAGAATTTTCTTTACTGATTTTCTGAGATCAAAACTAAGACCGCCTATATATGTAACGTAGAATTTATAAAATAGGTAAGGAATATTCCTTTAGAAATGAAGTTTCTTTATGAAAACTAGTTCAAGTTGAAAACATGTAAGCTCGGTTCATAAGTGTTGTAAGACTGTAAATGTAAATATGAGGAATGTAGCTGACATAATGAAGTCCAGTGTCAGTGAATGTGGGTTTACTGTAGGCACTGGTGAAGAAGCAGTTATTGCGAAAATTTAAACAAGTATCAAGAAAGGATACTTTATTATCTTGTTCATTTGCACAAGTGATTTTAATATTGGGGTGTTGCGAATTCAAGTATGAGAGGAAAGGGTTAACGTGAGAAGGGTCGTTAAACAGTAAGAAAGTATCATCCATGTCACGACGACATAAAATAGGTTTGAAATTATCAGGTCGATTATTCAACCAAGCTCGTTCATGGAGGCAAAGGAAGGCATTGGCGTAACAAGGGCCAAGTGGTGATCCCATTGCTTCACAGTTTATCTGCGTGCAAGAACAGTCATTAAAGGAAAACTTGTGAATTGTGAGCATGAATCCAACAGTTTCTTGTATGTTATCTTGTTCAGATCGTATGAGTTTAAGAGTGATAAGGCAGTTTTGTATATAACTATATCAGTGGTTTCATTGAGAGGAACATTAGGAAATAACGGCCGTAGTGGTATAAGGACACTAATTTCTTTGGCAAATGAGAAAGAGTTTTTCCTGAGATGACTACCATAAATACAAGAGAAAGATCAGTCAGGGTGGTTTCCCGTTGCCTTCCCTGATAGTGTTTTTTATTGAGACACAGACTCTAGAAGGGTTGCCAATCAAGGCTAAGGAGTCCCCTCTACCCTTATTTCTATCTATCCCATAGATGGGACCCTGACAGATGCTCCACTCTGGGTCGAAGTGGACCTGGGAGGAATAGTGGCTAAGAAGTGGCTCCATACTCCGCAGGGCCAAAACCCCACTACCGGATGCAGTTCGTGCTCATACCCAGGAGTAATATATATATATATATACATACATACATATGTAAATATATAAGCATATATAGATACATATATATGTATATATACATACATATTTGTATATATACATACATATATGTATATATACATACATATATGTATGTATACATACATATATGTATATATACATGCATATATACTTATATATATGCATATACACATACACACTTATATATGTATATATACATACATATTTGTATATATACATACATATTTGTATATATACATACATATATGTATATATACATACATATTTGTATATATACATACATATATGTATATATACATACATATTTGTATATATACATACATATATGTATATATACATACATATTTGTATATATACATACATATTTGTATATATACATACATATTTGTATATATACATACATATATGTATATATACATACATATATGTATATATACATACATATTTGTATATATACATACATATATGTATATATACTTATATATATGCATATACACATACATATTTGTATATATACATACATATATGTATATATACATACATATTTGTATATATACATACATATATGTATATATACATACATATTTGTATATATACATACATATTTGTATATATACATACATATATGTATATATACATACATATTTGTATATATACATACATATTTGTATATATACATACATATTTGTATATATACATACATATTTGTATATATACATACATATTTGTATATATACATACATATATGTATATATACTTATATATATGCATATACACATACATATTTGTATATATACATACATATATGTATATATACATACATATTTGTATATATACATACATATATGTATATATACATACATATTTGTTTATATCATTATTTTTATCATCCTTACCATTATTATTATTGGTATTATTATCATTATTGGTATTATTATCATTATTGGTATTATTATCATTAATGGTATTATTATCATTATTGGTATTATTATCATTATTGGTATTATTATCATTATTGGTATTATTATCATTATTGGTATTATTATCATTATTGGTATTATTATCATTATTGGTATTATTATCATTATTGGTATTATTATCATTATTGGTATTATTATCATTATTGGTATTATTATCATTATTGGTATTATTATCATTATTGGTATTATTATCATTATTGGTATTATTATCATTATTGGTATTATTATCATTATTGGTATTATTATCATTATTGGTATTATTATCATTATTGGTATTATTATCATTATTGGTATTATTATCATTATTGGTATTATTATCATTATTGGTATTATTATCATTATTGGTATTATTATCATTATTGGTATTATTATCATTATTGGTATTATTATCATTATTGGTATTATTATCATTATTGGTATTATTATCATTATTGGTATTATTATCATTATTGGTATTATTATCATTATTGGTATTATTATCATTATTGGTATTATTATCATTATTGGTATTATTATCATTATTGGTATTATTATCATTATTGGTATTATTATCATTATTGGTATTATTATCATTATTGGTATTATTATCATTATTGGTATTATTATCATTATTGGTATTATTATCATTATTGGTATTATTATCATTATTGGTATTATTATCATTATTGGTATTATTATCATTATTGGTATTATTATCATTATTGGTATTATTATCATTATTGGTATTATTATCATTATTGGTATTATTATCATTATTGGTATTATTATCATTATTGGTATTATTATCATTATTGGTATTATTATCATTATTGGTATTATTATCATTATTGGTATTATTATCATTATTGGTATTATTATCATTATTGGTATTATTATCATTATTGGTATTATTATCATTATTGGTATTATTATCATTATTGGTATTATTATCATTATTGGTATTATTATCATTATTGGTATTATTATCATTATTGGTATTATTATCATTATTGGTATTATTATCATTATTGGTATTATTATCATTATTGGTATTATTATCATTATTGGTATTATTATCATTATTGGTATTATTATCATTATTGGTATTATTATCATTATTGGTATTATTATCATTATTGGTATTATTATCATTATTGGTATTATTATCATTATTGGTATTATTATCATTATTGGTATTATTATCATTATTGGTATTATTATCATTATTGGTATTATTATCATTATTGGTATTATTATCATTATTGGTATTATTATCATTATTGGTATTATTATCATTATTGGTATTATTATCATTATTGGTATTATTATCATTATTGGTATTATTATCATTATTGGTATTATTATCATTATTGGTATTATTATCATTATTGGTATTATTATCATTATTGGTATTATTATCATTATTGGTATTATTATCATTATTGGTATTATTATCATTATTGGTATTATTATCATTATTGGTATTATTATCATTATTGGTATTATTATCATTATTGGTATTATTATCATTATTGGTATTATTATCATTATTGGTATTATTATCATTATTGGTATTATTATCATTATTGCTTTTACTAGAAATCTTACCTCCTCGTAATTATTGCTAATCCCGGTGATATAATCAGCCTACAATTTACTTATCTCTTCCTAAGTCCAAGATTCACACAAAGTTGCTTTTCCAAATCTTTAGATGTTGGTTAAGCGATTTTGTTAATCCTGTTAATGTTTTTCCCCCAGAATCTTTTGCCTTTGTTGGCGGCGGGATGCTTGGCCGCCCCCGCGGACCTCCTGAGTCTGCCGGCGTCTGCTGGCTTCCACGTCTCCCCTTCGGGTCCCCTGGAGCTGAAGACGGTCCAGATCCCCGCGCCCTTGGCTGTGACTCCTGCCGCGGTTCCTCCTACGCTCACCTTCGCCTCCGTGGCCGAACAGGCCTCAGGAGCTGACCTGAAGCAAGACCAGATTTCCGTCCCTGCCTCCATCGTCCTCAACCCCGCGCTTCCCTCGGCGGCGGTCCTCCCCCCCACCTTCGCCGCTGCTCCCGCCGTCGCCGTTGATGGGGTTTCGGTCGTGGCCTCTGCTTTGGCCCCGTACAACGTGCGCCTCGACGTCCCCGCACCCGTGCCCTTCGGCGACGCCCCCGCCCCCGAACAGCTGGTGCAGCGAGTGCCCGTGAGGGTGGCGGGTCGCCCCGTGATCTCGCACACCCCCCTGGTCACCGAGGTTCGGCCCGAGCTCAAGCTCATCGAGAAGACCTACGACGTGGCCGTGCCCAAGCCCGTCTACGAGACCAAGGAAGTGACTCCCATCGAGCACAAGTTCGTGGCCGAGCCGTATGCCGTGCCCCAGCCGTACGCCGTGCCGCAGCCTTTCGCCGTGCCCCAGCCCTATGCCGTGCCTGTGCCTGTTGCAGAACAAGTGCATGTGCAACACCACGTAGCTGCTGCTCCTGTTGCAGGCCAATATGTAGCTGCTGCTCCTGTTGCAGGCCAATATGTAGCTGCTGCTCCTATTGCAGGCCAGTACGCAGCCGCTGCCCCTATCGCAGGCCAGTATGTAGCTGCTGCTCCTGTTGCAGGCCAATATGTAGCTGCTGCTCCTATCGCAGGCCAGTACGCAGCCGCTGCCCCTGTCGCAGGCCAGTATGTAGCTGCTGCTCCTGTTGCAGGCCAGTATTTAGCTCCTGCATCCGGCGTCCTGCACCACACTCAGTCCTTCCCACTTCTCAGTCCTGCCGTTCAAACTGCATCTGCAATCTAGACAATTGCTACTTGGGATCTTCAGCTAAACCCTGAACAATCTGTAAACACAAATGCAATTCTCATGATTCGCACGGTCGTAAAGAAATAAAATAAAGAGTTTATCATTCCTCAGACAATTATTCTTAAAACTCATTTGAATACCCTAAGATCACATTACCTTCCGGTAGTATCTTGATCCCCCCTAAAAATATATACATACACACATATATAATATATATATATATATGCATATGCATTAAACAAAATCCTGCTACAAGTACTCAGCAGAATCTGACCTCTCTGTCTGTCTGTCCTTTTGGAGTTTTAGCTTCAGGTTTCAGGTGATACTATTATTTTCACTATAATTATTATTACTATTATCGTTATCACGATTATTGTTATTATTGTTAGTATTGTGATCAATATTGTTGTTATTAGTATTATGATGATGATTATCATTATCATCACTATTATCATTATTATCATTATTATTCTTTTATTATTGTTATTGTTATTATCATCATTATTATTACTACTATTACTTTTATTATCTTTGTTATTATCATAACAATAACAATAATAGTTATAATATCAATCATTATTATTATAATTATTATCATTATTAACAATGTTAGTAATGATAATAACAATAATAATAATGATAACAATAATAGTGACATTAATATATGCATATATTTATATGTGTGTATGTGTGTGTGTTTGTGTGTTTGTGTGTGTGTAAGAGGCTATCGCTGCCTCAAGGGAAAGGCTAGTAGGACAGTCTTTATTGATGAAGAGTACACACGAATGAAATACACGAGCAGTGCTGAATGCGGTGTCGCGCCCCGGCCAGCGGAGGGCCGGAGATCTATATTATGAATGGTAAGCTGACTGAGTGCAAACTGAAGGGTCAAATAGTTTCAGCCATAATCGACAACTAGGCTCCCGCTGAGTGATTCTGCTATGATCAGGTCAAATCTGTTAAGGTGGGAGGTTAAGATTTTGAAATCAGTATTGTTAAAAGGGCGATTGTGGAGGTGAGACCGCTCTGTAATTTGCCGAGAAGGGTGGTTCGCTCAGCTGTCCTGATTGACTTGCCTTTCTGTTGGAGAATGCGGTGAAGGAGCAATCGAGAAGTTGATCCCATGTACCTAGCCTGACAGCTAGGTTAAGAAAATGGGTAATCCACACTCGAACTCAGTTGAGAGTCACACTACTTTCTTCTTCAAGAAATTTCCAATAGTGTTAGTATTGTAAAAGAAACAAACCGAAAACAGACCTGTGGATAACATTGTTTTAGAACATTGTTTACCGATTTTCTGAGATCAGAACTAACAACGCCTATAAATGGAAACTTATGGGCGGTCTTATATTTAATGTGTGTATTTAATGTCTTTGTTGACACAAGTTTTGGGTAGAATTTCTGACGCAGAAAATTGCGTAGGGCTTTATAAACTAGGTAAGATGGGTACTCATTTGTAGTGAAATATTTCTGTAAGAATGAAGCTTCTTCATGAAAACCAGTCCAAGTTGAACAGATGTAAGCCCGGTTCATAAGTGCTGTAAGACTGTTTAACTTGTAAATATGAGGAATGTAGCTGAGATAATGAAGTCCATGGTCAGTGAATGTGGGTTTACTGTAGGCACTGGTGAAGAAGCAGTTATTGCGAAAATTTAAGCAAGTATCAAGAAATAATACTCCATGTAACGACGATATAAAATAGGTTTGAAATTAGCAGGGCAATTATTAAACCAAGCTTGTTCATGGAGGCAAAGGAAGGCATTGGCGTAACAAGGACCAAGTGGTGATCCCATTGCTTCACAGTTTATCTGCGTGTAAAAACAGTCATTAAAGGAAAACTTGTGAATTGTGAGCATGAATCCAACAGTTTCTTGTATGTTATCTTGTTCAGATCATAAGGGTTTAAGAGTGATAAGGCGGTTTTGTTTATAACTATATCAGGGGTTTCATTGAGAGGAACATTAGGAAATAACAACGGTGTCAAAACTGGCCATTGTGACAGGCCGTATTGGTTTAAGGACATTAATTTCTTTGGTAAATGAGAAAGAGTTTTTCCTGAGATGGCTACCATAAATACAAGGGAAAGATCAGTCAGGGTGGTTTCCTGTTGCCTTCCCTGACAGTGTTTTTATTGAGACAGTCTTTAGAAGGGTTGCCAATCAAGGCTAAGGAGTCCCCTCTACCCTTATTTCTATTTATCCCATAGATGGGAAACTGACAGGTGCTCCACTCTGGGTTGAAGTGGACCTGGGAGGAAAAGTGGCTAAGAAGTGGCTCCATACTCCGCAGGACCAGAACCCCACTACTGGATGCAGTTCGTACTAATTCCCAGGAATAATATATATATATATATATATATATATATATATATATATGTACATCTATTTACACACAAACACATATATGTGTTTGAATACACACACACATACATATATCCTTGTCCCCTTACGTCATCTCTCTCTCTCTTTCCCCGCATCTCTTTCCCTCGAACGTAGGCCTAACAACTGTCCCCGATGGGCGTGGTCGTCGTCCTCAGAGGTCACGAGGACAACCCTCCTATATAAACGGCTCCCGAGGCCTCCTTCGCCAGACTTGATCTCAGGTTCTTCGGCGACATGGGTCCTCTTGTGAGTGTGTGGCGCTTGCTTTTGTTATCAATATTATTATTGTTTATATCATTATTATTATCATCCTTACCATTATTATTATCATTATTACCATTATTATTATCATTATTACCATTATTATTATCATTATTACCATTATTATTATCATTATTACCATTATTATTATCATTATTACCATTATTATTATCATTATTACCATTATTATTATCATTATTACCATTATTATTATCATTATCATTATTATTATCATTATTACCATTATTATTATCATTATTACCATTATCATTTTCATTATTACCATTATTATTATCATTATTACCATTATTATTATCATTATTACCATTATTATTATCATTATTACCATTATTATTATCATTATTACCATTATTATTATTGGTATTATCATTATTGTTATTATTATTACTATTATTGATTATTATTATTGTCATTGTTATCATTATCATTATTATTGCAGTTCTCATCATCATTATTATTATCATTCTCATAATTTTTAATATTGTCATTATTATTCGGCCATTTTGTCATGCTGTCTTGAATGGTTTTTTCATCTTTGGTACTTGTGTAAAGTCATGATTTGCCTTTATTTCTTGAATCTTGAGGAACCTTAATTCAAATTTGCTATTTTCAGAATATCGTTTTATGCTACATATAATTTTCGGACTTGAGAATCAGACACGCTATATATATATCAATGTTTAGATTCAGTTTCTATAATTGTTTTGATTTACTACATGCAGAAAGACCCTGGCAACCATTTGCACTTGGACTAATCAGAGAAAAAGTCGTGTTAATTTATTTGAGCGAACTAATCAAATTTTACACCTTAATAGATTTACCTGTGTACAGTTCCCCCTGTTACACCTAAAGACGATTAGTAGAATCTGATAATATATATAAATAAATATATATGTATATATACATACATATATATATATACACACACATATATGTATATATGCATATATATATATATATATATATATATATATATATATATATATATATATATATATATATATGTACATCTATTTACACACAAACACATATATGTGTTTGAATACACACACACATACATATATCCTTGTCCCCTTACGTCATCTCTCTCTCTCTTTCCCCGCATCTCTTTCCCTCGAACGTAGGCCTAACAACTGTCCCCGATGGGCGTGGTCGTCGTCCTCAGAGGTCACGAGGACAACCCTCCTATATAAACGGCTCCCGAGGCCTCCTTCGCCAGACTTGATCTCAGGTTCTTCGGCGACATGGGTCCTCTTGTGAGTGGGGTGGCGCTTGCTTTTGCTATTAATATTATTATAATTATTGTTTTTACCATTATTATTATCATTATTACCATTATTATTATTGGTATTATCATTATTGTTATTATTATTACTATTATTGATTATTATTATTGTCATTGTTATCATTATCATTATTATTGCAGTTATCATCATCATTATTATTATTATTCTCATAATTAATAATATCATTATTATTCGGCCATTTTGTCATGCTTCCTTGAATGGTTTATTCATCTTTGGTACTTGTGTCACGTCATGGTTTGCCTTTATTCCTTGAATCTTGAGGAACCTTAATTCATACTAGCTATTTTCAGAAATCTGTTTTATGCTAGATATAATTTTCGGACTTGAGAATCAGACACGCTATATATATCAATGTCTAGATTCAGTTTCTATAATCATTTTGCTTTACTTCATGCAGAAAACCCTGGCAACCATTTGCACTTGGACTAATCAGAAAAAAAATCGTGTTAATGTATCTGAGCGAACGAATCAAATTTTACACCTTAATAGATTTATTTGTTTGCAGTTTCCCCTGTTATACCTGAAGACAATGAGCAGAATCTAATAATATATATTTCTTTCCCCTTTTATCTCTATTTTGTGTAAAGAAAAATCCATACATATCGATGGCTATATAATTTCTTCTTCAACAGGTTATGTGAGCAGTTAGTGCTTTAACTAGAAATACCTCCTCGTAATTATTGATAAACGCGATGATATAATCAGCCTACAATTTACTTACCTCTTCCTCAAGATTCACACAAAGTTGCTTTTTCAAATCTTTAGATGCTGGTTAAGCGATTTTGTTAATCCTGTTAATGTTTTTTTTTTCCCCAGAATCTTTTGCCTTTGTTGGCGGCGGGATGCTTGG